TTGCAGGCCAGGCTGCTCTCCCAGGCACCCACCAAGGGTTTTAGCAGGAGGATTTAGACCTTATACAGCTTGGAACAAAGTGGGTGCCAACCTTGARTGCCTCCTGGGACGTTTTCCCCTGAAGAAAAGGTGCCGGGATGCATCCTGGGGCCTCTTCTTCATTCCAAGTCACTGTGAACATCTTCCTGGCGAAGCTGCTCCATGGGGCCCAGGGACTTTCTCCTCTTCAGCCTCATTTCTCCAAAGGGGCCAAAGGTCTCAGCTTCTTGTGGGTGATTCTTCCATCGCCAGAACAAGTCACTGGACACGTTTGCTGAGGGCCGGGAACCCAAGTCATGTGGCGGTGGCATCCGTGACTGTCCCCATGCCACAGCAGCAAGGCTGGGGCATGGAGCCGAACCACCTGTGCACCCACCGGGATTCAGAAGCCAGGAATTCCAGCACGTCGGAGCAGGCTCAGCTCATCCARGGCGGCCACGGTGCCGGGAACAGCCTGTTGGCAAGTTCCCCAAACAGCTCCAGTTTTGGGTAGGGGGAAGGGGACGGAGGGGATGTTTTGCTTCGATTTCCCAGAGTCCAGGCAACCTCTGTGTGTGTCGATCCCCACGCAAGGTCCAGGTTGTTTGCAAGGACAACATCCGGCTTGAAAGAAGGGAGCCACAAGAGAGCGCGGCGCAGCAAGCTTGGCAGGGCTCAGCCCTAAAGCTAAACCCCCAAATCAGCACAGTGCACCCCAAGCTCCCCACAGAGCAGCCAGTGCATGGAGAGCAGGAGGCAGGATCCACCCTTAGGCCCGCACAGATGCCCGATGGAAGCAGCAGTGGCGCGGGAGGACTTGGGCTCTCCACGGCAGCTCCGTGATCCCGGTGCTCCAGGGCAGAGCCTGAACTCTCCTGAACCAGGGAAGGGAGATGTCGACACACGGAGCAGCTGCAGCCCCTCCGGGCTCACCATGGAGGCTGCTTCCGCACGCTTCCTAAGCTGCCATTTCCAACCAGGATCACCTCGCTGGGAGAGCTGGATTTGGCTTTTCAGGGTGAAAACGCAGAAGAGGAAGGGAAGTGGCACCCCCGGCCAGCACGYGGCAGTCGGGCGATATTTGGGGCTCTCCCTTGAAGGAGATCCAAGGGCAGCTGCCAGCTGGATGCACCCAAGTCATTTCCGAGTGCAGCCCAGGGAAGGGGAGCAGGAGAAGCCCCATTTTGGGGTCCCAGGCACACAGGCAGATGTGCCCTTTGTGCGCGCAGGGCACGAGGGAGGAAAGGAGGCAGCAAGTAAATAAACGCAGCGGCTCGAGGCGAGGCGGGGGGACCCTCCGCCAGCCGCCTCCGCTCTGCTTTCACCAAGAGCAGCAATTGCCAAACCCACACAATTAATGCCTAACAGGTTGGAGTCGCAGCAACCCAATCCACTCCTGCAGCAGCCTGGGAGGTCCGTGGGCAGCTGCCGCCGCACAGAGGGCCCTGGCCGCTCTTGGGGGGGACATGAGGGGCTGCAAAGGGGACCCTCAGGGGCCAAAAACAAGGAAATGCACCCCAAGGAAAACACACCCCAAGGAAAACAAAAGGACACAAGGAGCTAGGCTGGGCTGGGGATGCCCAGGTGCGTTCGGCCCTGTTGGCACCTTTTCCCGTGTGCCCTCATGCTTCCCAGGCAAGAAACAGAAGCTGCAGATAAACCTGGACRGGCTCCACGCCCGTCCCCAGCCCCGTGGCACGTGGGCTCGACCGGCACTCTGCTGTTTCCCGGGGTTTCCCTTCCTCAGGCACAGAAGCCCAAGGGCCCTCAGCTAATTCCCACTGCATGTGCCTTATGTTGGCATCAAAACTCACTCCCAGGTCGGGAGCAGCTCTGTGCCCAGTACAACCACCCCCCGCCAGGGACTCTGTTGCCCCCAAAGCCCCCGAGGGTAATGGGCACCTTCAGCCTGCAAAGTCCTTCCCAGTTCCATCCAACAACCTTCACCACCCTCACCGAGAGCTCCGGCTGCTGCTTGCCCTGGCTGCAAAGAACCCTCACAGGGCACTGCCCGTCTCAGCGAGCCTTCTCGTTCCTCCTTGCAGAGCTTTTTCCTGCTATCCGAGAGCAGCCAAAAGCAGAGGGCAGCTGCACAGCGTGTGACAACGGCAGGATGCACCCAAAGCAAACAGGACCCCGGGGAGACGAGTCCCTCTAAAGGGACCCCAGGGAGATGAGTTCCTTGCATGTCCCCTGATCCACAGCAGGGACCACAGCAGGCCAGATCCTCTCCCTGGCTGCTGGGTCCCATCCAGAGAGGCTCAGCACCTCCCGGGACAGATACGGTGCCAGCCGGCAGGTCACGGTCTGTCCCTGGCAAAGATCCTGGCGGGGGTGGGCTTAGCGCCGCCGGGGGGGCTCAAGTGGAAACTTCCATTGCGCTGCCTGCAATTCCCCCCGGGCCGGCCGGGAGCCGCGCGAGATACCCAACCTGCTGCAAACAGGAGCCTCGGAGACGGAGCAGAGCAAGGGGCGGCACCGTGGGCGCAGAGCCGGCAGGAAGGGACACGGGGAACTCGAAGGGACATGGGGAGCCGCTGCCCGGCCGCACGGGCCTCCGTGGGAGCCAGCAGCACTGGCACTTTGGTGGGAAAGCCTCTTCCCGCACAGCCCAAGTGCTGTGAGGGAAGCTCCCACGGACACTCCTCAGCACACTCTCCCACACATGGAAAGGATCATCCCTGCCCGTCCTTCCCACCCACCCTGTCCTTGCTCCTCACAAAACACAAGCCCTGTTCCCGCTCGGGGGCTTCGGCTCCTGCCTGTGCGCGGGGGCCGGGCACAGCAGCACCCTTAGAAAAGCCACCGGGAAGAGCAGCCCGGAGGCTGGGACGTGCTCTCGGGAAAGGTCAGGAGGGTATTTTTACACTGTGTGTCAGGGCCAGCAGGGAGGGCAGAGCAGCCACTGGCTCCTCCATCTATGGCCCCGGCCAGTCGCTCCCGGCCCTCCTCCCACGGGATGCTTCGCTTCCGAGCCCTCCGTGCCAGGTGCCRGGCAGCGCTTCCCGGATGCTCCCTCTGGCACACGCCTGGATGAGCTTGTGTTCTGGCAAAGCAGGCTGCAACCCTTAAAGGTCAATATCTGTGGCAGAAGCATAGAATCATTATAGTTGGAAAAGACCTTCAAGATCATTGAGTTCAACTGTAAAACAGACTGGGAGCCGGAGGGAGGGCAGCATCCAAGCAGGGCTGGCAAGGGACCAGTTCAGCAGCAAGACCTGCTCACTCCAGCACCAAGACCACTAAAAGGGCTGAAGTGTCCCCAAACCTGGGGGTTTCACCCAAGACTTTATGTCTGTCTGCAAGGTAAGGATTGCTATGTTATTTACCGGCTTCAACATGCTGCTATTTTGGGGATCTCACCCAAATGATCTAGCAAAAAACTGAAGAGCAAGCGGCAGTCCTGGGCTGCCTCTCCGCCTTCCTCCGCTAGGTCAAAGCTCATCCTTGGAGGTGGGCAAAAAGCATCCTGTGAGTCACCGTGGGGCCCAGCCACCAGCACCGCACTATCTCGTGCTCCCCTGGACACCAACCCATGATCCACATATTCACATTACTCATTCTGTTTGTTTTTCCACGTTTTCCCTTTAAAGCCCTGCCAGTCCGGGAGGTGCCTGCAGGACTGTGCTCTGACCCTTTCGCAGAGTCTCCGGCGACATTCCCCATGGGCACAGGGGAGCCAGGAGGTCTTGGGCACTCGGAACCTGCTCCTGTCCGGACGCAGAGCAGCTGCCGCAGGTCCTGCCTGGGGTGCAAAGCAGTGGAACAGGTTCAGCACTGTGCTGTGCCTCTGCTCTGCCACCTTGCTCAGGCTGGAGCATTTCCTTAGCCAGTGGCACGCTGCTTTCCTGCCTCTTTAGCACACGAAACGCCACAGCAGCAAAAATCCAGGTTGCAGAGATATTAAAAACGTATTAAAAGTTTTCGCAGCTCTCAAGGCGTTTAAATTATTTAGGGCACTTGGACCGATTGCAAGAAGAAAATAAACAAACACAAATGGGCGTGAAACTCAAGAAACGTCCGTTCTGCTTCCAGACACAGGCACGAATCCATGGGCACTGCGCTCTCCTGCCTGCTCCTGGGTGTCCTTGGGGGAGGCCAAGGGGAGCYGGGAACGGAGGTGCCGTTGGCAGAGCTGGGGCACCTGCAATTCCGACCGTGGCCCCCATGTAGGGCTCTATGTTCAATCCCATAGGGTCCAAGCAGCTTCCCGGGGAGCCACCCCTCTGCAACACGCGTATTCCTGCATGTCCCTGCAAGCCTCCCCGCCCAGGCGTATCCCGGCATGCAGGCAAGAGGCTACACACGGCCCGGGGCTGCCACCCTCCCAAGGGCCTTTCTGCTCCGGAGGACGATGCTGCAGCCCTGGGCAGTCACTGCAGGCTATGTGCCRCGCTCAACAGCCCCTCTTGGCAAATGGGAGAGTTTCCCTTCTTTTTCTCTCCCCACTTCATGTTTCACAGAGGAAGGAAGCTCCTCGGAGCAGCACGGATAACGGGAATCCGCAACCGGGGCCAGGCAAGCAGCAGGAAGGCATTCCAGCTACCTACTTTCTGTGGACGCTGCCACAGAAGCACCTGGTCCTCAGAAGCAACCAAGACAACCCAGCACTGCCAAATCCAAACTGGCACTGAGGAGAGGAGCGCTGGGGACRTGGGGACAGGGTGCCACACAACCCCTCCGATGCTCTCCCACCAGCACTGGCTCTATAGGCAATGATCTCCCACTCCCATTTAACACCAAAACCAAGCCAGCGCTTCTCCCTAGGGTGCCCACAGGCCTCCGCACACCCACCAACCTCTTACACAAGCCTGGCCTGCTTCAAGTCACACCCAGAGAGTAAATGCCAGCACCATTCCAGCAGGGATTTCTCTACGGACTGCTGCCATGATGGGCTCTTCCGAAGATCTCCCAGGCAGTACGGGAAGGTGAGGTCGGGCTGCGGATGGAGAGCCCGCGTGCGAACCCCCACRGTCACTCACCATCTCGTCGAGGGCGTAGCGCAGCAGCCCGTGCTCGTAGAGAATGAAGAAGCGGCGCTGCCATTTCTGGAAGAGAAGACAGCGACGCTGGTTACCGCAGCTYGTCCTCCTCTGGCCCGAGCCAGAGGGGAGCGGAGCTGCTAAGGGCCAAACCGGGGCAAGGCGACAAGGACGTGTGGGAAGAAAGGTGACAAGGACATGTGGGCAGGGAAAGCTCTTCATGCTTGGGGACTCCAAGTGACGTGATGCAGGTCCCACCAAAACGGCAGCTGCGAAGGACAGAGGCCGGGAAGCTGCTGTCCAAAAGCAGAGGGGACCCCCCCGAACGCTGCACCAACCATTCCTAAAGGCTGAGGAATATTGCAAAAGCTTTTCTGCCGGGCCCTGCCGGTTCCCACCAGCTCTGGCAAGTCTGGCACTGCCAACAACTRCTTGGGGGCTGTGGAAGCAACACTCACTGCCTGACACCTACCACTGTACGTGCATAGAGCAGGGCACAGTTGGTCCCCTGGATYGATTTGAGGGTAGTTTTGCCTCCGGAGGCAGCTCTGCCCCAGCTGCCGCTGTGGCTGATACCAGGCTGCCCCAGCCCCTGGCGCCGYGCTGGCACTGCTGTTTGTGCAGCCGCACAGCAAAACAGATTGGAGAACTGATCTGGCCGGAAAACTGCTTTTTTTTTTTTTTTTTTTCCCCATGCGTGCCAGGTTGTTTTTCAGCCAAGAACAAAAACTGGTCGAGCAGGCTGAAATAAAAAGGTCCTAGATTCATAGCCCCAGTGCAGTAATTCTTATCTCGCTTTTCTCAGGCCTTCAGGCAAAGTCCAAAGTGCCCAGGGACAAGCAAAACGGCAGAGGATCCTGAGGACCTCCGCAAGGCTCAGCTTAGCAGGCAGCCTCTGCTCCAGGCTCGTGGCCTCCCTGCACGGCTCTGCACGCAGCACTGTTGAGCTGCAGAKCAAGGACCAGAGCAGCACAGCCCACCAGACTAAGACCCTTCCCGTCAGCACAGCACATTTGGGGCCATCCAATGCAAACAGTGCGGGGGCATCAAAAAGCAACAACTGCAAGAAAAGTAAGGGCCTGGTCCAAATACGACTGGCTTTTCCCAGCACAGCTCAAGCATTTGGGGAGAGCAGCCCAGGAAGGAGACTGGGCCCTGTCCAGAAACGTCTCCCCGTGGCCAGGTTTGCGCAAGGGGCCGGGTGCTCAGCGGAGGCAGGTACAGCCCAGGTCCCACCCCGCAGGGAGGGCAAGGCTGCGCGTTCAGCGCTGCTCCTGGCAGCCCTTGCCTCCCTGCTCATCCCATAGCCCCGGTGGGGAYGAGGCTGCCTCACTTACCCGGGAGCGGTGCACGGGGTTGTCAAARTCCGTTCCTTCGGGCGCCAGCAGCAGCCAGCCGCCATAAATGGGTTTGGCCTGCAAGGAAACAGCACAGCAAGGTGAACAATAGGGGAACAGCGCACGTGGAGTCAGCACCACGGGGGCAGCCAGGCAGACCATCAGTTGGGAACCACAGGAAGCCCCACACGGGCCTCCAAAAGACCAAGGTGAAGGTGGCTCTATGAGTCTGAGCTCCCGGGCATGGACAGATTCACCTCTGCTCTCACATGGGAAGCTGACGCTTGACTGCAATGCGTGCTGTTACATGCAAGGCATTGCAGAGCAAGAGCGGGATTTGGAAAGAACTTAGAAAAACAGAACCAGAGAGCCCACCTAACCCAGGCGCCCCAGCAAGGCCTGGCCCTGAGCACCAGCCTCCCACAGCCTGCAGCCTCCCTGCCTCCACCGGCAGTTTCATTGCCCTCTGCAGCTTGCCTCTATTGCAAAGAGAGAGCAAATCTCCAAGGAGAGCTTGTTTTTAATTAATTAATTTGCAGAGGGAAAAAAAAAAAAATCCATGATCGAGCACTGGCAGTTCTTCAATTCGCAGCCAGGCCCTCGGCCCGTTTCCTGTATTGTGCACATCCAAGTACCTGCTTCCCTGCAAACACATCCCCGCCAGCTCCCCCTTCCCTGCCATCGCTTTGAAAGAGTCAACAGCCTAAAATACAGGAAGGTCAAATCCCGGCAGAGCGAACACAGTTAGTTCAGCCGACGGCAAAAAAGAAAGGGAAAGAATACCCGGAAARAAAAGCCTTGCAGCGCTGCCATTTATCAGCAGGGAAAAAAAATAAGTAAAAAAAAATAAAGACTAGGCTCTTTCCACAGCTGGTTTCTGTGCAGGACTTGCCGCGTGAAGCAGAAGAGCCAGTTCTGCCGCTTCGCCCCAGGGACGCGGGGGAGCCGCACGGTCGGCGTTCCCACGCGGACGGCACCAGCACCGTCGGCACCGCGAGCCTGGGGCAAAACCCGAGGCAGCCCCTGCCCAAAACCCRAGCCCTGGCCTCATCTGCAGACAGCCATCTCTGCACAGTTGCTCAGGGGTCTGTTTGCATCGACCTGCAGCTTCAGGAGACGCCCGGAGCCCAGGGTGCATCTCCCACGAGTGCTTATACCAATCTGCAGCACAAAAACATCCCCAACACACRATTCAGCAGCGCAAAACATCTGGTTCTGAGGCCCGAAACACCCAACTCAGCAGGCCAAAACATCCAGTTCTGAGGCCCAAAACACCGCAAGGAGACCYGGCCTGGCCAGGAGCAGAGCTCCGGTGGAGCCCTTGGGATCAGGGATGCTGCTTTGCACCTTGGCTGCTGGGTCAGGCTGGACACACCAAGAGAAGGACACACATTTCCAGTTCCTCTTGAGATTATTTGGATGCTGCTGCTTTTTTCTCTCTTTTTTGGAAGCCCCAAACAATATCCAACTCAGTACCTCCCCTAGCTTCTCCCTGCCAGTTTCTGTGGTTTTGTAATGACTAAAAAATAAAAAGAAGTTTCCCCTCTGGAAAAATCCCTGCAAACAATAGAAAAAACTGTGGGTGCACCCAAATTCATCCGGAAACACGGAGTAAGCAGGCAAGCGAGCCGGAGGAGAAGGGCAAAAGCCCCATCTCCCCTCCAGATGGAAACCAGCTGGAAACACACAACCGGGAAGCCCTTCCCTCTTTAACGAGAGCATGGAATGGGAATAAGGCTCCACGCAGAGGCTGCCCCTCGGCCTCACCTGGATGGCAGTGCTGTCGTCGAGGTCGTGCCGGGCCCCCGTGTCGCGCTGCCCCATGGCCGCYGCTCGGCTCGCTCTGCCGGGGCTTGTGGGCGCCCGCCCGCCGCGGGCTCCACCCTGCCGCGCCGCCCACGCCGGCGGCTCCGCCACGCTCCGCACAGGCCTGGGCCACCCTGCGCCATGGGGGCCCGGCCAGCCCTGTGCAACGAGGGGCCCAGGCCGCCATGCGCCATGAGGGGCCCGGCCTGCCTTGTGCCATGAGGCGGCCTAGGCCACCCTACGCCGTGACGGGCCCGGCTGGCCCTGTGTCATGAGGGGCCCAGGCCACCCTGCGCCACAACAGGCCTGGCTGACCATGATGGACCCAGGCCRCCCCGCAGCCATGACAGGCCTGGTCGCCCCGCAGCCATGACAGGCCTGGGGCTGCCTCACACCATGATGGGTGCCCTATGCCACAACAGTCCCAGCTGTCCCGCACCACGATGAGCGTGGGCCGCTCCACACTGCTACGGGCCCGGCTGCCCTGCACTATGAGGCGCCTGGTCGTCCTGCACCATGAGSGGCCCAGGCAGCCCACGCCACAACGGGCCTAGACCACCCCGTGGCCATGATGGGCCTGGCCACCTCGCGGCCATGACAGGCCCAGGCTGCCGCTGCGGGGAGTCGCGGCTGCCCTGCCCCRGCTTCCCCCAACGCACTTTCCATCCAGAGATAACGAGAAAGGGAAGGTGTCACAGAATACGGGAGACTGGGGAAACGGGGTGTCGGGCCACAGCAGGAGGCGGTGCGGATGCCATGGCGGTCACGATGGTCTGAGGGTCCTCGTGCACCCTCCGTTTTTCCATCCAGCCCACCTGGACATCCAGCAAAAGGAGGGAAGGAAATCCAGGCCGGATTAAACCCATGCTGGATTAAATCCATGCTGGATTAAACCAGCATGTTAAAGCGGTGTGCAGCAGCCTCCTGGAGCTGGGCAAGGGCAGGGATAGGAGCCTCATCCCCCCATCCCGGCACATGGCGCCCCTTAAATTTGGCTCCATGTGGATCTGCTCCACTACTTACAGCAACCATGCACMATATGGAGATTTCCCCTCCAAAATTCCCATTTAAATTGGTTCAGGATCTGCACTGCACATTCGCAAAAACCACTCTCCAATGCCCCCAAAAGATCCCATATCCTGGGGATCCCCATGTCCAATATCCCTCAGCAGCAGGACCACCCTCTGGGGACAATTACCAACCTAATCCCATCCTGATTTTCTACCCTCTAGCCAATGCTGGTCTTCTCCAAGGAAAAAGCAATTTTTAGGGATTTGGAGGGTTTTCCTGCCCAGAAAACTGTCAGCAGCCACTCACTTCTCCCCACCTTCCCACTCCTGCCCAAAGCTCCCGGCATGGAAAAGTCCTACAAGGACTGCGTGGTCCCACGCTGCTCTGAGACAGTGTGGCAACTACCCATTCAAGAATGGCTTCATCACAGGCCAGAAAATAATTAAAAATAAATAAATGCACCTGGTAAAATATCGCAGACTGCAAGCCACTGAATGAAACCCAGCACAGCAGAATCRAAACACCCATCACCCAAAGCTGCCACCCAATGCCAATTCCAGCCCACACTCCCCAGCAGGCACCATTTTACCTTAAACAGCTCCAAATTTAGCTCAGACGACCSCATACGAAGAGCCACACACCCGAAATACCTGCCCTGAAAATAGGGCACGACCGTTTCTCTGCCAGAACGATAAAAAAGCACCGCTGGACTCTACTTATTTCAGCAGAAGCTTCCAATTTCACACRTCTGACCCAAAATAGCTGAAAGGTAGGAATTAGAGACAGCCAGTGTGGGCAGCCCGGATTCATCCACTGAGCGAGCAAACACGCAGCAGCACTTTTAAAAACCAAACCAAAACAAGCTATTCTTCCAACCCAGCAAATGCCCAGAGAGGCACAAGCTGAAATAGAAGGATCCGATTGAGAGAGTTCATGAAATGAACTCTCCAAAAAAACCCATCGCACCTGCATTTACGCGGCCCAGCTGAAGCAGGGTTGAAAATAAACACGGAGGCAGGTCCTGGGGAGCGTGGCCAAAAGGGAGCTGGAGCGCACACCTCGTCCTGCACCGAGAGCAGGGAAAGGAGGAGACACCCAATGCCCCGCACCTAAGCTGAGCTTAAAGAGGGAACTTCCCCCATCYGACCAGACCTGCCCAACGAGAGCACAGGGAGGTGACTTTGAAGCACTGCTGGGATTCCCGGAGTGACTTTGCCCACTCGTGGGTGTCTCCGGAGAGCTCTGCGGTGCCGGAAGGGCGGCTTTCGGCTCTTTCGCCATAGGGAGCGGCCACGTGCGATACGCGGATGCCGGCAGGTTTGCCTTCACCCAAGCTGGCAGTGACAAAGGCATGTCACCACCCTGGCCACAGGAGTGACAGGTTCACCACCCACRAGGGGACACCGGCAGCAACGTGCGTGGCACCTTCCCAGCCACGCAACGCTCCGGGTCACGGCATGGAGAGGCTGGCACGCACGGGCGGCCCGGGGGGGCTGGCGGGCGCTGACTCAGGCACAACCGCTCCTGAGTCACCAGCCCAGCTTCCTGTCACACCTGCGAACAACACCCAGGCATCCAGAACAACACCCAGGTATCTCATCCAGCCACGGATCCCTGCTCAGCTCCGGGGACCGCCCCGCTGCCCACACGGGACGGGGCACAGGATGTTCCGTCCTGGCCTCGCAGGGACTCCGCTCGTGCCCTCCTGTTYGGGAGGCACCAGCACGAGCCCTGCTCTGCCTTTCCGACCTACAACACCCACAAAGCTGCTCTGCCCCAGCCGGGGGTTCGGTTTCCGCGGCTCCACAAGCCTGGGTTGCATCAGGAGGGACGGTGCCGCCTCCAGCGCCAAGCCCCRGGCCAGCGCTCGGAGCAGGACGGGTGGGAGGAAGCGGAGAAGGAAGCGGCCCCAGCTCGGTTTACACAAAGCTGTCAAGCTGCCACGCTGATGCTGCCCAGGCCCTGCTCTCAGCCCAGACACAAACCACGCCACCGCAACCCGCGCTTCCCGCATGGGAACGCGCAGCAGCCAGGGGCACCTGCACTGAGGGATACGCAGAGCTGCTCAGCGCTCCATAAAGACCAGCACGGCACAATCCAGCCCAGGAAGATCTGCACGGGCTGGGCAACACCACACTGCAGGACACACAGAGGCAATGTCACCCGTGTCCCCGGCCCGCGTGGCAGCAACACGGAGCACTGGGTTACGGGGCTGTGACACCGGCCCATGTGCCACTCAAGGTGGCTCTCACGCCCGCAGT